GGGAGGGAGGACGAGAAAGGGGGAAAGGGGAAGAGTACCTCGGAGAGAGACGGATTTTGAGCGGCCGAAGCTTCCGCCATTGCCGCACGGACGGAGGATATTCTTAGAAGCAGCTAGGGAGTTACAGTGAGGCAGATCAGAGAATCTTTTACCGATAACACGAGAGAGAGAGACTCTCCCCAGCAGCAACTAACTATCAAAATGATTACCATTTACGAAACGACTGCGTTTCGATTCACCCTGATTGGACAAGAATATCGGGCTGACACGGCAGCCCAATTTCTTGGTTGAATGCATTGACATTTTACTTATTAAAGCCTCTTAGGTGTGATGTGAATACAGGCAAGCACAATGCGTGGCTTCATACTGTCCCATAGGTTAGATTCCCTTCTCACCAAGAAGCGTTCACTTGCTAAATGTTTCTCCTTCAGGTGATACCATTGACCAAATACCAAAATGCTGTAAACAGATTCAATCTAATTAGACAAAAAAGCTTCATGATCTTCATTTCACACACCGAGGGAGACAGAGAGAGATATAGGGACCCAAATGAGGGTTGAACCAATTCTCAAGACAACAAATCGAAATGCCTAGAGATACACGAGGAAGCAAACCCTAAACTAGCAGCTCAAGCAACCATTTTACTGCTCTTCCTCTGCGGGCTTCGGTGCTGCTTCCTTGATCTCATCCGCAGCATCATCCTGGTCCAATCACACACAACAGGTTTAGATTTTTTTTAGTACCCATATGGACAAGGCAACCTAACATAAACATACATTAAAAGGGATTGGAAACAAGACCTGCATGTCGGAGGTCCAGAGAGTGAGGTTGTCACGTAGGAGCTGCATGATCAAGGTGCTGTCCTTGTATGACTCCTCACCCAGAGTGTCCAACTCCGCGATTGCCTCATCAAACGCCTGAATACATACCCAGACACAATGTCACTCACTCTATTCCAATCGTTCTCCCACTTGTTTCTATATTATATTAAACGGCAAGGGAGATGGATGGCTTTTCAAAGTAGAAGCTACCACGGCTTGCTCTTATAGTTTCATATAGTACATTTGCATCCAACACCGCTGTTAATAGAAATGGTGCGTGGAAGACTTTAAGCTACCTGTTTAGCGAGGTTGCAGGCACGATCAGGGGAACTGAGGATCTCGTAGTAGAACACCGAGAAGTTCAATGCTAGACCAAGTCGGATCGGATGAGTCGGAGCGAGCTCTGCATTGGCAATCTCCTGCAAAGGCTCAAGAAAATGAAATCGGCGCCAATCTAAACAATGCAAAACCCAAAACTATAAACAATTGTTTAAATTCCTCGAAGCAATCTAACCTAAATCCTAAATCCGCTCAGGGCAAGAAATCTCAAATGCATTTTGAATCCGCCGCAAATTGTAATCAGAATGCAAGAAAACCGATTTATTAGACACTGGAACTCTGGAACTAAAAAATAACACGAACCCAGAAGAAAACTCAAGTGCTACTATAATAAATCGATCGAAATCTGTTGAATCAACATCCGTAAGTCACAAACCAATGCCCATAAGGCCATAACCGACCAGATCTGGAACCTAAACGCTGAGATTCGAAATAGGAAACAGAGAAAATAACCTGAGCGGACTTGTAGGCGGAGAGGGTGTGCTCAGCGGCGTCCTTCCTCTCCTGACCGGTCTTGAACTCGGCCAAGTACCTGTGGTAATCACCCTTCATCTTGAGGTAAAACACCTTGGAGTCGCCAGAGGCAGCGGAAGGGATGATCCTGGAGTCGAGCAGCTTGAGGATTCCGTCGCAGATGCCGGAGAGCTCCGACTCGATCTTAGACCTGTAATCGCGGATCGCGGTAACGTGGTCGTCGTTGCCGCGGCTTTCCTCCTTCTGCTCGATCGAGGAGATGATTCTCCAGGAGGCACGTCGGGCTCCAATGACGTTCTTGTAGGCAACAGAGAGTAGATTCCTCTCCTCGACGGTGAGCTCCTCGTTCTCGACGGATGCGGATACCTTCTCCATGAACTCCACCATCTCCTCGTACCTCTCGGCCTGCTCCGAGAGCTTGGCCATGTAGACGTACTCCTCACGCGCCGAAACAGCCATTGTTGGTCCTTCAAACAGCGGATCCAAAATCTCAAATCAGAGAGAGAGAGAGAGATTTGGATGTAGGTTTATGAAAGGAGAGAGGGAGTGGGGAGAGAGAAGAAATGCGTCCGAGAGGAAAGTGTGGGCCGTTGGATTCGTCCCAGTACGGGAGGCCCTGCTTTTTTTAAGGGCCCTGTGGATCGTTATTCTATTAAATTCGTGTGTGTGTGTATATATGATAAAATGTTAAAAAAAATTATCCATTATGAGAATATTCTTTTATCATACTGATTAATATTGCAGTGGAGTTTTGCGTACATTCAGCAATTTCATTGATTGGAAACTAATGTGTACGAATTATATCCATATGATGGGTCATTATTGCATCACCAGAGGGTAAATATACGGTAACATCTTATTGTCACATACATACACGTTCATGTTCATGTCTTAATCGTTATAACATCTCTGGTTTGGAGAACAGAGAAGCTCCGCTTCAATTCGGGAATTAGGGTTCTTCCCTCTACATATATTGTGTACTGATAGTCATGGAGAAGTATGAGTTGGGAATTTCGGTGTGGCGAAGCTGGTTCGAGGCAAACTGTCCAAGGAGCTTCTCTTCTCGCTGTGAAGTTCATCTGTACTTTCACATTCCATCCCTTTTTCACATCCCATCGGGATTTAAAACTGGAGAGCACGCTTCTAGATGAAAGCGCGGGCCCACGGATACTCAAAGGTGACGACATTATTATAAATATCACTCATTTTTAGTATATGGATTTTTTTTTTAATCAAGGTTTATCATGAATTATGTTTTAAAAATAGTCGGCTGTCCTTCATTCGCAACCGAAATCAACGGTAGTCTATGTCGCTCCTGAAGTTCTTTCCAAGGAAGAATACGACGGCAAAGTCAGATTCATATCCTTCATCTATGGAGATCCTCCAGTCCATTTCCGCCCAAAGAAGATATTGAATTTTGATTCTTGATGAAACTGCAGGTAGCAGATGTTTGGTCTTGCGGCGTGACTCTATATGTAAGCTCGTTGGAGCTTATCCACTTGAAGATCCGAGCGATCCGAGGAATTTTCGCAAGACGATCAGGGTCAGTTTCTTCGTCATCCATCCTCCCCCCGAAAATAACTAACTTACCCGTTCTCTCTCGAACAGTTGTCTGATATGTTGTGTTCCGTGCCTCCTGGTTCAAATGTCAGCGAATACTGACTGAACTCTCAGTACTCTGTTCCTGATTATGTCCCAGTTTCCAAGGAAAGCAAGCATCTTCCCTCCCGCTTTTTCATCACAACCCGGAGAAGGTTAGAGATTCATATGGTCAAAATCTGTTATCTTTTGAACGATTAAAAAAAAAAAATCTCGATGTTTGGTATTGGTATTGGAGCAGAGAATCACGATGCAAGAGATAAAGAACCATCCGTGGTTCCTGAAGAACTTGCCGGCGGAGATGTCGGAAGAAGGGAGTTGGGAGAGGGAGAGCAACGGCGTGAATGAACCGTCTCATACCATCGAAGAGATATCGTGGATTCTGCAAGAAGCACGAAATTCCGGAGGAGAGATCTCCGGCATCAGCGGAAGCAGCAGTATGGATCTCGACGACATCGACACCATGTAATAACACTCTCTCAAAAGACTTTTCAAGTACAAGTTTATATATGTTTTTTCTGGGAGAACAAGCTTAGGGAGCAAAAGACTGATGGGTTTGGATCCGACGTTTTCTGAGACGGTCGGCGATGATGAAAGCGAGCTCTAGCGACTGGGAAGCGTTGAGTCTCGGGTCACAGTGGGTGTGATAACGCGAGCCCAAGTCATCAAAGGTCACGGTTCTTGAGCCCCCGATGCATTCAGTCACGTTCTGACCGGTCATCTCAAGGTGCACCCCTCCGGGGTGACTTCCTTCTTGCTCGTGCACGTCGAAGAATGCTCTCACTTCCGCCTGAAAAACTTTCAAAAATCCCATCATTTCTTATATTCTCGATCACTAAGGGGAGTGCGATGAATCGAAGAGCATACCCTGATGGCATCGAAAGGACGAGTCTTGAGACCGCATGGAGCTTTGATGGTGTTTCCATGCATTGGATCGCTGACCCAAGTGACGATCTGTCCCGAACGGCGAACTGCTCTAATCAGATGAGGAAGCTTAACCCTCATGTTCTCCGCTCCCATTCTCGTAATTATCGTTATCCGCCCGGGCTTGTTCTCCGGGTTCAGTATCTCGATAATCTTCACCAACTCGTTCGGATCCATCTTGTCGCTCACCTACACCGATGAAACCCCCAAAAACAACGTATGATAACTAGTTACGAATGAATCAGGCAACAGAGAAGTTTGGCATTAGAGAACAAACCTTAATTCCAAGAGGATTGGAAACACCTCGAAGGAACTCGACATGGGCACAATCGAGCTGTCGAGTACGCTCTCCGACCCAAAGCATATGGGCAGAGCAATCATAGTAGAGGCCAGAGGTAGAGTCTAGCCGAGTCAGAGCTTGTTCATACGGCAATAGCAAACACTCATGGGACGTCCAGAACTCTGTCGTCTGCATGATCGGATGGTCGAGTGTCAGCCCGGCAGCGTCCATGAAACCGAGCGCCTCATCAACTCGATGAGCAAGTTCCCGGTACCTAACAAACAAAACCAACGTCAAATGTCGTAAACTTTTGATCCAAAAGGAGAAGTTTCAAACCCAACAAATAGCTATACAATAAAGTTTTCAAAGTTCTGGACCCAAAAACTTAAGGTTTGTGGCAGCAAACAAGAGGAAAATACCAACATTTTGGCATCGAATTGGTCAGAGCACAACTGATATATGCAGTAACAAAGTCCAATCAGACCAAAAGGCTATCCTTTTCAACACTTGCTGACGATAAACGACACCAGAACATCAATGGGAACAACAACCAATGCCACTGGTGATGCTAATTCTATATCCTAACCGCCACGAGACTTGCTGCAACCACAAGACGATCTCCGCAACCAATCAGAGCAATAAATGAACCAAACTTCTGGGGGGAGGAATTCAGCATTATACCTGTCTCCTTGCTCGCTGTGCTGGGCGAAATCAAGATTCCACTGAGTAACCCTCTGCATCGCGGCATAACCACCAGTGGCGAAGGCTCTCAGAAGATTCAGAGTAGCTGCAGATTGGCAATACGCTCTGATCATTCTCTGGGGATCAGGAGTCCTCGCCTTCGCATCGAAGGCGTCGCCATTGATGTTGTCCCCTCTGTAACTTGGCAGCTTCACTCCGTTTCTCTCCTCCAATGGATCTGATCTTGGCTTCGCAAATTGACCCGCCATTCTTCCCAACTGAACCAAGCACCGCCATAAATACACGCAAAAAAAAAGCTCAGTACAAGTTCAAGAAAACGCTCTCATCGCCAGAAGATTAACCCAACACAACAAACAGAATCCTGTGAAATGTTTGAACTTTTCTGCTTCTTAGTCCTAAATCAGCTGGAGAAACTCGCTGAAACTAATCCGAGACAATTCGCTACAAAATGGTACAATTGGGATGATTTAGTCGTACCTTAATTACAGGCACCTGACCACCGAACATCAAGACGGCACCCATCTGGAGAAGAATCCTGAAAGTGTCACGAATGTTGTTAGCGTTGAACTCCTTGAAGCTCTCAGCACAGTCTCCGCCTTGCAACAAGAATGCCTCTCCCATAGCGGCTTGAGCCAGACGCTCCTCCAGAAGTCTGGCCTCTCCGGCAAAGACAATCGGCGGGAACGCCTCGATCGTCTTGAGCACCGACTCCAGCTCCCCCGCGTTTGGGTACTCCGGCTGCTGCAGAGCCTTCTTCGACTTCCAGCTGTCAAAAGACCATTTCCCCCGACTCACATTTCCACCCATCTCCGTCTTCAACACCGGAGCCTCCTGCATCGGTGGCTTGGGATCCGTCTGGACGGCGGAGATTCGGAGGAATGATGCTCTGGGAGCGGCAGAGAAGCTTGATTGGCGGTGGCAGATCATTGACTTCGACGAGGGGAGATTCATGCAGCTGTTCGTGAGCGCCATTTCCTCGATTCTTCTTCTCTCTCTCTCTCTTTCTGTTTTTTTTTTCTTGGGGTTTAGGAACTAGAAGAGAAATTGAAGGGATTTTATAACGAAGGGGAGAGAGTTGGTGCGGTGGCGTTTGGTTTAGTCAACTGACGTGGTAGGTAAATCCCTCAAGGTCATTTTGGTAATTATAAAGGTGACTTCCCGCGGTTGGGATTGTTGGAGGGTAAATACGTCAATTCAGAGTATAAAACATGGAAATCGGGCCGGTAGAACCGGTATTCTTCGGTTTAAATAGCGATTTATTAGTTTAATTGGTAGTTTCTGCATTAAAAAAAGAGAGAAAGAAATCGGATTTTCTTTTGGTAGGATTTGTTTCAAATTTCGACGGTGCTGCTATGGTTGGGCAATAACTTAATATTCAAATCTTTTCGACCTTCCAAAAGGAACACACGTGCCATTGCAGTCATCAGGGAAACGAGGGTTGCCTGATCATTAAAAGCCAAACTCACCTGACCTAACCCCTAATTCGGGTTTTAGTTTGGTTTGTTTCGGTTTTTTAAAATTATATCTATTTGTTTGTTTTCATGTTATGATTCGGTTCTTAATAATAAGATATTTATTTTCGATTAAAACGAATATGTTATGTTTTTGAGTTATTTTACATTTAATTAGAAACAATTTGAATTTAATTTTTCCATTTTATAAAAATTATACCTGTTTGTTTTATGATGCCGGATATTATAATATAATATCTGATTGGTCACTTCGGGTTTTGTATTTTTTTATTTTTATTTTTTTTTGTTAGGTTTAGTTTTGGAGACTTTGTTTACTCCCAACGGTTGACGAGACAAAAATGAAAGGGCCAGAGTTTCGGCATCTGTCTATTTGGGCCGTAAGAACTTCAAAAATCCCAAAACTGATTACATTATCCTCAGAAACTCCGATATGGGCTTTGGATTCGTGCACTCCCAACCCGACCCATTAACGCTAAGTGTTGCTTTTGCAGAATCATCATGACGTGGCTCTTCGTTTGTTAAATGACGAAAATGTCCTTGCATTGGTAGAACATGGAAATATCGTTGTCAAATACATGGACGGGGAGAGGGTAATTGACCTTTCTTTTTTGTGATTGACGTAAAAGAGATTAAGTGGGGAAAGCCAAAAATAAACATGATTAATTAATTAATTAGAATGCCTAAAATAAATTTCTTAAAATGTAAGTTGCCTTTCCATCCCATATCATGAACCTCGACACTCGACGGGACTGCATATATGTATGTATGTATTTATATACGAAATATGCGAGGGCAACAACAGAAAGATTTGAGTACGAGTTGACAATTGGACGGCCTTGCGGTCGAGACCCACAGCCCAAGTTTACGCCTAATCTGTGTCGGTGACAGCTAGGAAACTACAGAGATTGTGGCTATATGATATCATGTGAACAAAAAACAAAAAAAACAAATGGAAGTCGATCGCCGCAGAAACAAGCGAAAAATGTGCATTTTCGATTACTGGATTTATATTAGGATTCGAATCATTTTCCTATGAAATCGTTTAGAGGTTGAATCCCATGATTTCAAAATTATATTAACGGGAATAAATATTGGAGGGGGTTGAATCCCATGATTTCATTTTGAATTATTAGCACACACGTTATATGTGCTCCTGACTTTTTCAGAAGTGTAACGATTTCTTTTGTTCGTGTTTATACCAAAGACTGCAATAATTATACGTACCTTTTCTTACAAATTTCAATTTATCCAATTCAGGTGTCGACGTACCTTGGACCCTTTTCATGACTACTCGCTCTCTATCGCCAGAAATTAGGACGGCATGCTTTTCACCACCAAGCGTAGTTTAGGTATACATCACAAATGTCGTTTAGATGCATGTGTGTGTATATCGATATAACTTTCTATTTTTACTTTGATTTATTAGATATGGCAAACTTTTTATATTGTATGCCAAGTTTTTTTTATTTGTTGATAATCCAAAAATTCACCGGACCTTTGATCCGATTATATCTCTCAGAGGACCGAGAAAACCCAGATAAATACCCCTATCCACGCTTAGATTTGAAGTCATCGTGAGAGCATACTTTTCATGTTCTCTCACCATTAGACCACCCAAACTTGGGTTATTGTATACCAAGTTAAACATAAATTAAGTGTTTCTCCCTTTGTTTCCATATTCTATTTTCAATGGGCAATGCAAAATGTCAGTAGTCCGAAAATGTTGATTACTGCGCTCATCGAACTAATTTAGTGTTATATTTACAATTTAAAAAAATCACTATAGCCAATGAATTAAGTTAACGTGGCATTTACAAATTCAAAATTTTATTTAATACTTAGGTATAAATAGATGTATTTTTTTATAAATTTAAGTTTAGTATGTAACTTTTTAATATACAACGAGTTTGATGTGATTTTCAAAATAATAACAATAACAATAATAATAATAATCCAACAAACCAGTTTTGTCGTCTTCTCCATGAAAGAAATTGACAGACGCTTATGTGGACTTTGACGGTCCAACCATAACCAGTGAACGAAGAATTTACTGGGAAGACCCATCCGTTCGTAGTTCGTACTATTCTATAGTCGTCGTAACTATCGAGAAGATATCCGCTGACAGGGGAGACCCATCTTTTTTCCACGTGGCATACAAGTCTCTTCGCACGTGGGAAAGTCCCCATCGACAATCGCCACGTGCAAGAAACCCACCCGTCTTTCTTCTGTATAAAGGAAATCTGCTCCAAATCGTCTCGTTTCATACCATTCTCGTGCCGAAAAGAAAATGGGATTGGTTGCCGGTTTCAGCTCACAAAAACCGCACGCAGTGTGCGTGCCGTACCCGGCACAAGGCCACATCAACCCCATGCTGAAGGTGGCGAAGCTTCTCCACGCGAGGGGCTTCCACGTCACCTTCGTCAACACGGAGTTCAACCACCGCCGTCTCCTCCGGTCGCGTGGCCCTCACGCGCTGGACAAACTTCCCTCGTTCCGGTTCGAAACCATCCCCGACGGTCTGCCGGAGACAGAAGTGGACGCGACGCAGGATATCCCCGCCCTCTGCGACTCCACCAGGAAGAACTGCCTCGCTCCGTTCAAAGAGCTGCTCCGGCGGATTAACCTCGCCGGCGGTGAGATACCGCCGGTGAGCTGTGTAGTTTCTGACGGCTGTATGAGCTTTACGCTTGACGCGGCGGAGGAGCTCGGAGTTCCGGAGGTTTTGTTCTGGACGACAAGTGCTTGTGGTTTCTGGGCATATCTCCATTATTACCAGCTGGTAGAGAAGGGTTTAGTCCCCTTAAAAGGTTAGACTGTTTATTAGGTTTCTGCTCAGTTTGGTCAAGTAGCCAATTTTAATTTCACATAAATACACGATTATATATTAGTATTAACCACTACTCTGTTGTAGGGTTTATTTTGTAATTTGCTTATAAACTCTACATTACAGGCAACCTATATAAATTGTTGATTCACCTTCTAAAAGTAGTACTATTGTAAATTAATCTTCAAATGATTCAGCATACACCTTTTGATGCTCTCCTCCTTATCTATTAAAGTTTTAATTTGTTAATCCCAAAATATATCTAGAAAAAAGGGAATATTTATCTGTAATGGTGGGCCGCTTTTATTATTGTAAAGAAAACAATCGCCATCAAAGTGAACAACGCTTGACACCACTTGTTACTTTGTTTTTTCATATGCTCACCTTATCTATTAAACTCCTACTACCCCCAATTGTTGGGGACCATATATTTTTATTTAGTGTATCCCTTTTATTATTTAAAGAAAAAAAAAGTCTAGGAGTGGACTGAAAGAGAAATTGTTTTTTTATATATATATAATCTTTTCGTCGCGCAAATATCTAGAATTTGTTGTGCAGTTTTGGGAATTTTTGTTCAACTCCGCAAGGTTTTTATGCGTGGGAATATTTTTTGTGCAAGATTTCCCAATGGCATATATCGGCTATATTCTACAAATTCATCGACATTTTTTTTATATGAAGAGGGACAAAAGAGTACCGAATAATTATATACAACAGCCATATAATATAGTTTTCATTAGAGCATACATAAGTAAGATTCAGTTATGTAAATATATTTAATTGATGTTGTTAATCCTTTTCACAGACGAGAGTTACCTGACAAACGGGTACTTGGACACGGAGATCGACTGGGTGCCGTCCCTGAAGAACTTTCGACTCAAAGACTTCCCCACCTTTGTCCGTACCACCAACACAGATGACGTCATGCTGAGGTTCGTCATACGCGAGACCCATCGAGCCAAACGCGCCTCTGCTATCATCCTAAACACGTTCCACGACCTCGAGCATGACGTCATCCGGTCCATGCAATCCATCCTCCCTCCGGTTCACCCGGTCGGTCCGCTCCACCTCCTCGTGAACCGTGAGATCGACAAGGACAGCGAGATCGGACGGCTGGGATCGAATCTCTGGAAAGAAGACACGGAGTGTTTGGCGTGGCTCGACGCGAAGGCACCGAACAGCGTAGTCTACGTCAACTTCGGGAGCATTACGGTGATGTCGGAGAAACAGCTTGTGGAGTTCGCGTGGGGTTTGGCCGGAAGCAGGAAGGAGTTCTTGTGGGTGATTCGGCCGGATCTCGTCGGCGGAGACGCGGCCGTGGTTCCGCCGGAGTTCATGGCGGAGACGGCGGACAGGGGGATGCTGGCGAATTGGTGCCCACAAGAAGAAGTTCTGTCGCATCCAGCGGTGGGGGGATTCTTGACGCACAACGGATGGAACTCAACGATTGAAAGCATCTCCGGCGGAGTTCCGATGATATGTTGGCCGTTCTTCGCCGAGCAACAGATGAATTGCAAGTTCTGTTGCGACGAGTGGGGGACTGGAAAAGAGATCGGAGGTGACGTGAAGAGGGGGGAGGTGGAGGCGGTGGTAAGGGAGCTTATGGACGGAGAGATGGGGAAGAAGATGAGAAATAAGGCGGAGGAGTGGCGGCGCTCGGCGGAGGCCTCCGTGGCGGCGCCTTCCGGTTCGTCGTTCGTCAATTTCGAGGCGGTGGTCGATAGGGTGCTTTTAGGCCACAACTAAATCACTGGTTCGTTTTCGTTTAGTGACATAGATCACTTGTTCGTCGTCGTTCTCAGTTAACAGATGCATGTTTAATAAATAGGCATGAATAAACAGATGGGCTTCGCCACAGGTTGGGCCTATTTCTACATTTATGCCCACTATGGTTGTATTCTGTATTGGGCCTTCAGAAAACAATTCTTAATAATAAAGAAATGAGCCTACTTCTTGTATCACATGTGAATGTGATGGGCTTATATTAACTTCTTCGGGTGTTTTAGGAATCGATTAATTTATTAACGTTCTATGAATTTTAGTGTGTCCGTTTAAATAAATATGTCTTCGTACGTTTTCTAAAGTATTCGATATGATACTTCACATGTGATCCGAATGAACGACCAGTGAAGTTGTCTCTCTGCCCCACTTATCCGCGTTTAGTTTTACCCATGCAACCAAACAGCAGGCTAGAACCTTAGATACATATTTTGTTTATTTTGCATATATATGGAGATTTTTTTTGGGTAAAGGCACATATATGGAGATTCTTACTTTTAATTCTATTAAATTCCGAAATCTTGGTCCAGGGGATATTTAGTGTTTAAAATCGAGTTTTAGCTTCCAAACATTTGATTCAGAATTGAAATCAATTAAACAAATATGAAAGAGTCCAAATAATTAGGTAAGATTTATTTAAATTATATTTTTATTTGGTTTGAATTATCCATTAAAATTTATATTACTAAAAAAGTAGGAGTTCTAGTAAAAATAATATAGGTTTTAGATTTGATTTGTTTGATTATCAAGAACAATAATTACCCAAAAATTTGACAAAATCCAAATATTTATGGTATATCGATTGGAAAGATATTGAATTTTATTGACTATTTTGATTTTAAAAAAAAAGAGAGTATGCATACTAATAAAGAATTTTAGTCAACTATACACGCCTTTAGAATCTGCAAATCAAAATCCCACAATAAGCCAAGTTTCTAAATCTCTCAACAAGGCATCTGATTCTCCATGCTTTCCACAACATTCGACACACACACGTGACAAAAACATAAAATAAAACCCACTTACCTCCCACTCATCACCCCCAACCAACCCCAAAAAAAAAAAACCAGAGCATCGTATCTTCTGGTCGGAACTCAGATTCTCTAAATCTAAATGACAAGGTGCTTCAGCTTGTCTGAAGCAGTACACGGATACTACAGATCCGGCTTCATCAAATCCGGTCTCCAACCCGTTTCCACCGATCTCGACGACGGAACTACCATCCACTGTTGGATCCCCAAAACCCGACCCGACTCCAAGCCCAACCTCCTCCTCATCCATGGCCTCGGCGCCTCCGCCGTTTGGCAATGGTCCGCCGTCGTCCGCCGCCTCTCTCCGCACTTCAACCTCTTCGTCCCCGACCTCCTCTTCTTCGGCGCATCCTCCACGACCCGACCCGACCGCTCCGAGACCTTCCAGGCCCAATGCCTAATGGCCCTTATGGAGGCCCATTCCGTCCGACGCTTCAGCCTCGTCGGACTCAGCTATGGCGGATTCGTTGGCTACCGCATGGCGGCGATGGCCGGCGGCGGCGTCGTGGAGAGGGTGGTGATCTGCTGCGCCGCCGTGTGCATGGAGGAGAAGGATATGAAGGATGGGGTATTTAGGGTTTCGGATCTCGACGAGGCTTCGAGGATTCTGGTGCCGGAATCGGTCGGGAAGCTCCGCGAACTGATGGGTTACATTTTCTACGACCCGTCTCGTACCAGATTGATCCCTTCTTGTCTGCTCGAGGACTTCATCGAACATGTGAGCCTCTTTCCTCCCACTTCGCCATGTCTTAACCAATTAGATTTTGCCACGTGTCCACATGCGTTTTGTCTTCAACAACCGGGGAAAAAAAAATATAGTTCCCCCTTTTGTGTATTTGTCACAGAAAAAGTCTTTTTAAGGGAAATTTTTATTTGTTTCTTATTTTGAAAAAATATATTTCTTTAAATCCGGGAAAAGAATAGATTTTTTCTTATTTTGTGTTTTTTTTTTCTGGGTGGCAAGATCTTTCCTTTGTTTGCTCAAGTGGAGAATTTCTTCACATTTATTTTTATTTCTTTATTAGTTGGACTTTGGCGAAAAGTAGAAGGATTGTTTTTATTGATTACGTGGAATAAAGATGCTAAATTTGAAAATAAAAAAAACGTGGAAATGACAAGGCATTGAGGAGAGAGTACGTGGAAGAGAAGAGGGAGCTAATCAAAGCCATACCAAAAGACAGAAAAATCTCAGACATTCCGAAGATCGCTCAGGTAGGTTGAAGGTTCCACTTGGGGATTGATTTCTCTTTTGTTTGTTCCTGAATTATTATTATTATTATTAATAAATTGTTAAAAAAAAATTGGCAGCCAACACTGATAGTGTGGGGGGAGAGTGACAGAGTGTTTCCAGTGGAGATGGGGAAAAGGCTGGAGAGGCACCTGGGCCCTAACGGTAAGCTTGCGGTCATCAAAAGGAGCGGTCACGTTTTCAACTTCGAGAAGCCCAAACCCTTTTTTAAACTCCTCAAATCCTTTCTTCTTCCCCCATCCACATGACCCCTTCCATCTCTAGAATGTGTATCGGTGTTGCTTTCTGTTACTCTGCTGCGTTTCTCAATCCGAGATACGGGTTTACTACCTGTCAGAGTTGTCATCTGAATCTAACGACGATGCATGATATGTCGTCTTTACTCTCTCTTCTCAACGCTTCAGCCGTTAGCTCCTTGGCTGCCTTCTGCGGCTCCCTCAACCTTCTTGCCACGTCAACTGCCTCTTGGTTTGACATCACCTGCCACATTATCTCACAACAGTCAACATACTGTAAACTACATTGCTTACACATCAGTCCTTCTTGTAAATATGCACATGTCTATAGAACTCACCTTCCACAGGCCGTCACTTGCCAGAATAAGGATATCTGTGTTGCTATCTACGGCGACTTCCCTTATGTCAGGTTCTGAACTCAGATGTGTTTTGAGGCTCTTGTCTCCAAAGGCACGAGATACAGCCAACTGACCATTGACCCGAGGGACATCCCCTGTGAGATTACGCCCACTATGTCATCCTCAACATTCCACTGAAGATTTATCAAATGGGACAGAAAAAGGGTGCTGTATTGAAATTGTTCTATACCTGGCAGGTTGGAAACAAATCCGCCTCTATACTCAATGCTCGCCCTTTCAGTTCCCGGTTCATGATCTGTACTGATCTGTATTGCTTTGCCTCCTCGACAAACAACTGCTCGTGAGTCGCCAACATTGGCTACCCACAGCTTTCTCCCGTTCATCAAGATTGCAGTCACAGCTGTGGACCCACCTCGACCCAAATCAGAACTGTGAGATAAGATCGTCTGGTCCATCTTTTCGTAAGCTTTTGCGATAGATCTTCGAGGATCAACCCATAACTCTCCCTAAAATAAACAATCAGCTCAGCTGTGTTTACTGCATTACCAAGATCTCTTAATTGTGTCTAGGACGGACACCGACCGGCCCGGGAGACCATTCATTTAACAGAACGGAACCAGAGCTCAGTTTAGTTCAGTTTGGGCCTGTATCTCTTTGGACATTTGTTCTGACACCAAGAACACTGGAGCCAATTTCCATATCTCTTGGATCAAGCCACAAGTTTGAAACCAGTTAAAAGGAAGAACCAAAGCAACACAGAGTAAAAACAATACAGTAATCTGACCTCCTTCAGGATATTGGAGAAGAGATGCTTCTGCAAGTATGCAGGGACCTTATCTCCCATGTGGCCATCGAAAATTGCAAATAGTCCAAGCTGATGGCCTTTGATATTGATGAAATTGGCAACATGATAATCTTCCATCGGGTGGTTGGCCTTTCCTTTTACTAGACTAAAACCATACTTGATTTCCCCTTCGTCGCTTTTTCCTTTACCCGAGCGAGATGACGCTTGCCCTCCTACAACCTAACCGATGAAGCAAACAGAGCAGGACGGTCAATTCTTCGAAATGATAACTTTCTTGGGCTAGATAACTCCACAAACACTTCCGTCAGGTCAGGAACATCGAAAAGAATGCTTTGACAAACCACATGGAACATTTCTAACAAGATGAGCCCAGATTGGGCTTCTTGAGGACATTGATCACCGGTTATGTTGATCAAAAGAGCTTCCCACACAGGTAAAGTTCATCAACACTCCGAGTTAATAATTTATTCATTTGTAGAAACCCAATTCTTCACCAGATGTATTGTGCTAAAGACCCAAGTGAGTTCGCAGATATCTGGTACTTTTAACAATATCATCATCATGTGATCATAATCGTCTTTCTCAAACATGAACGGAAAAGCATATGTTATATACGACACAGCTTAAACTCAAGCCAGAAACCCATCAAGATCGATCAAAAATCAAACTAATCTATCTCAATCATGAAACTAGCAGTCATTCAATTTCAGACAGAATTGAACGAAGTGCACATATTTACCTCGGAGGCGGAACTAAAGCAGCAGAACTTTTCCATCAAAGTCGACGAATTCCCTCGATTCCCTGTGTAATTTTCCAAATATACACAATCTGTAAAAGTTACGAAGCAAAATCAAAAACCCCGACAGAAGAAATTATCCACAAGCAACACAGAGAGGGAAAAGATGAATCAGATAGAAGAGGGAGATACCTCGGAAAAAAACCCTATTTGCTTCAATCAGAAGCCACAAAGAGCCGATGAAATTTTCGCGAAGAAGTCTTCTCTCTCTTTCATTGGGTCTTTTTCGTTTCAAGAAATATAATTTATATACAAAGAAACCAGCTTCACGCGTAATTGCTCTATGAATCCTATATGTTCCGCCTTTGGTTCCATAGTATCAAGACTTTCAATAAGAACCCCCAAACTTCGAATGCTTTATTTCATGAGAGAATTTTCTATGTTGTATATTTTATTATTTTACAAGATTTCTTTGCATTTTTTTTGTTGTACTCTGCTTTGTTATCGAATAAATCGGATGTGAAATGCAATGCAGCATGATAATATGAACATTTGATCTTTTGTTAAAATTATTATTTTTTTGGGTAGAAATAGATAAACTCATAGATGTTAGATACAAACGATTTCATTGCCTTGTAGATCGTGTAAGCATCGAATCAGCCATGCAGAAGATTTTCTCATTGTTTCAGAACCAAAGGGACTTCGTACATAAATACAACAATATTTGGGTGTAATTCAAAACAGGAAATATTAGAACAAATTAAGATAAATGCAAAAGAAGAGGTGCTATTTGAGAAGCTAGGAAAATGAAAGAAGCAAATACATATATATATATATATTGCCTGTTGACTTCCTCTTCATCTTGTATATGCCCTTTTCCTTGACAAATCTATGGTCTCTAAACAAATGTCCACGTAGATAATCCACTTGTTTTACTTCACTTGCTCATATGCCACTATTCTGTTTTGTACCTCTCAATATCCGTCGTTAATTGAACTGAACACACAAAGGTACATAGATTTTGATTATAGAAGTTTAGCGAAAATTCAAAGCTGCCTTTGTCACGACCGCGACCGAAGCCTTGTGTTCGCGTCATGTCATGTTCTTGGACGGTGCAGCCAAAATTCTCTCGAATCTTATTAATTCTCGAGAAACTGACCAATTAGATTTTTCTGGGCCCCACAGTGTTCATAAACATGGGCCTGTATCTTTTACAACCTGGCCTATAACTAATATATGGGCCTAATTTGAGCCCACCATAAACCACACGGTGTCGTTTTGTCTTTATGAATAGCACCCGCTCTCGACCAGGGCAGCCTCCTCGCCACTTCCTCTTCCTCGTGTTTCACTGCTGCCACTTCTGCGCAGAGAGAGAGAGAGAGGATGAAGTTGATAGCGCACAACATGCTCTCGTGCAACATAAAAGGCGTGACGAATGGATTCCCTCTTCGGATCGAGGCCGAGAAGGTGATCGAGAAGGAGGTCGATTTCAACCCTGATTTCCTCAAGCACATGTTCGCCAAGATCGAATGGAAGGCTCTTGTGGACGCGGCACGTTCCTTGGGATACTCCGAACTTCCAGAGTCTGCGCCTGACGCGGCGGCGTTGGATTCAGACGAGCCCTTTCTCAGGAGGTTCCACCACGCGTTGCTCGAGCTCACTCTCGAGGAAGGCGCGCTCGTCTGCCCGGAGACTGGTCGGAAGTTTCCGGTCAACAAGGGAATCCCCAATTTGCTTCTCCACGAGGACGAGGTTTGATTTGAATAATATGTCCTTGTAAGTTTCATCTAGGGTTTATGGGGGGGGGGGG